GCCGCGCAGGTCGGGGAGGCACAGACGCGCTCACGCCATCGCTGCTCAACCGCACTTTTACTGCCAGCACCGCCGGGGTCCCGGCTCCAGCACCGAGCCCACGGCGTGCCCCGAGCCGAGCTGTGGGGAGCCTCAGGGCTCAGCAACACAAGAGCAGGGTCAGGACAACCGTCCCCCTCGAGTCCTGGGGACCCTCCAGGCTGGGCTCAGCGGGGGACCCTGCGTCTGGCAGCCCCCCGTGTCGCTTCCCGCTGCTGCTGTTTGCGCCGCTGGATGTCCCGGTAGGCCTGGATGACGCGTGCTCTCTCCTCCTCCACAATGCGCCGGCGAGCCATGGACACCGGCGCTGCCAGGGATGCCGGGGACGCCTGGCTTTGGCCCAGGCGAGACGTCAGGAGGAGCCGCTTCCGACCAGCCTGAGGGCAGAGACAGGATGGCTCAGGGAGGGGGACGGATGAAAAAGCCAGGACAGAGCTCCGAGGAACTATCACCAGGAGGTTGAGGCTGCTGCTGCCCTTCCAGGCCTGATTTCCAGCCCAAGGGAGGCGACGTTTCCAGCCCAGACCCGAGGGGATGAACGAGGGGCAGGAGGCACCGCCCCCCGCAGCTCACCTGCTCTGTGGGGCCCCAGCCCCTGGGCCGCGAGGTGATGGTGGGCGGCTGCGTAACCACTTCACCGAACGCCACCGTGTCTAAGGGAGAGGAACGGGTGCCGGCGTCAGGCAGGAGCTCCCCGGGACACGCCGCTCCACCTCCGCCCCAGCTATCCCCACGCTGGGAGGGCAGGGGATCATTCCAGCCACCCCACTGCACCAGACCCACCTTGGAACAGGCTCTTCTCCAGCATGGCTTCTTTCTTTTCCGCCTTCTTCTTCCGTGCTTTTTCCAGCTTCTTCTTCTGAAACCTGAAGAGCTGCGTTATGGCCAGGGCTTGGGACCGGACAGGGAGCAAGTGAGCTCCTACCCCATGGGATCCCTCCCCCCAGCTCCAGCCCAGCAGGTCTGTGGCTCCGGTCCCAGAGATTCCACACTGTGGAGGTGAAGCCCACAGCCCTCCACCCGCACCCTGAGTCGCTGGTGGATGCTGGACCTCCCCAGCAAAGCACCCACCACGTGCCCAGAACTGGGCTGGGGCACGGAGCTGGGCTCTCCCAGTCCAGCCCGGTGGCCACGGTGGCCCTCGCTCTCACTCTTTCTTCCTCTTGGACTTCTCCGGTGCCACCGCCTCCTTCTCAGGCTCCCGCTGCAGCTGGTTCTTGGTGAGGAACAGGACGCGCTGCACCTCCTGCTCCATGCGGCAGATGTAGGAGCGTTCCGACTCCCCCTTCCCTCTCCTGAACTTGGGCACGGGGATGTCTCCCTGAGCCCTGGCGCCCTTTGCCTTGGGCTGCTGCTTCTTCTCTAGGAGAGATGGATGGCATTAGGGCAGCAGTGACAACCTGGGGGTCCCCCCGCTGTGGCAGGGTAGGGATGGGACACCGCCGGGAGTAGCAGAACACCCCACAGCAGGATCCGGCTGCCTGCAGAGCCGCGTGCTCCTCGGCCAGGCCGCGGGCAGCCCAGCTCTGTGCCCCACCTGCCGCCTGCTTCTTCCTGGGGTCGGGGCGCTTCATGGCCTCACGGCTCTTCATCAGCTCCCGCAAGCGGAAGGGGATCTCCTGCTCGTCGGGATGCTTGGGCTTCATGTTGTCCACCTTCTTCTCCTTCCTGGGGGAGAAGGAACACGGTGTGAGGCCAGTCCCAAAGCGCTGGGACCCAGATGCGGTGAGACACTGGGACAGGGGTATGGCAGGACACAGGAGCAGTGGGATACAGCGACCCGAGAGCAGGCATGAAGGGACACGGGGACCCGGACATGGC